GGCCAGCGAATTTCCCCGACCTTAACCCTATAGAAAATGTTTGGAAGCTGTTTAAGGATAATATTCAAAAGCGCGAAAACTTTCCAAGAACCGTGGACGAGCTCAAAGCCGCCTTAAAGGAGGAGTGGTCGAAATTTGATGTCAATATTCTTAAGGAGGTTATTGACTCAATGCCAAGAAGAATTAACGCGGTATTGGAGGCAAAAGGAGGGCCAACAAAATATCAATTAAATATGAATGAAAAAATAAAATAAATCGAAATTATATTTTAAGTTTTATGATAATTGAAAATCGGGCGTTACTTTTTGAGGCGACTGTACATGTAAAATCGGTATACATGTAGATTAACAATTTTTTAGCGATGTATTACATTTACAAAAAAGATCTATTAAAGATATGTAATGTGTTCGCTTCGAGAACCCTAAAGTTTCTCTTCTCAATTCTGGACCAAAAAGTGCGCCGTACGCACTATCAAATTAATTGATATTGGCTGTCGAAATTCTCAAAAAATAATAAATTATAAAGATATACAATTGCAGGAAGAAAGTTTCGCCATGATACAAAGACATTTTAATCTTGTTAAAAATCAAAAATGAATTAAATGAACACGAGATGTGTAATGAACATGATCTATTTAGCTTTGTGTCTGTCTTATTCTTTTGAATAATCAAAATCTCAAAATATATCAAATTTTTGACAAATTTGTCGGGAGATGTATAACTATATTTTCATCGAAAATGATTATTCCGGACCTAACAAATAACTCACAATATTCCCGCAATAACGAAAATGATTTATTTCGGTATGTGTGTGATCTTAATCCTCATGCGAAACCTAAACTTTACAGTTCGCCTTCATCTATAATAATTACATGTTGTATCTTACTTCATGAGATTTTTTGTTACGACGTTGATGATGCATTAAAAGAAAGCTTTTCTGTATTTACATTTGGGACAACGGATATATTAAAATGCATTTATGCGTTTTAATTGTTGGTGTTATGTATTGCATGTTTAAATTCGCCATTTTGTTTTATCAAATTTTTAAAAAATAACAATAATTGATTTATTCATTTATTTCGTATAAAAGAGATATACATTATATGAATATTTAATTTTTTTTCGTAAACTTTTCGTGTTACATTTCTTCTGTGAGCCACTGTATCTCGATACCAAGTGATCGAAATCATAAAAATACTATTGATTTACATAACTAGACTAATTGAAAGCTGATATTTTTTATGCGATTTGATCACTAGGCATCGAGATATTGCATATTTTCTAACTTTCGTCGCTGAAAATTTCTCTTGTTAATCATCTCTCTTAAAAGTCACATGATTCATGTGCATGTATCTGCAAAAGATTCAGATCTGATAACCTCTCTCCACAGCTTTAAGAGGGTGAACTGTATATTATTTAGCCGAAAACATATAAACATAACCTATTTTTTATTACCACACTTACTTTCGCTTGCGTGCCAGCTTCGCATTCTTCTCTATTTTCCACTTGTTTGTCCATTTATGCTTGCTTATCTATCTTATTATTTGCACTCATTCGTCTCTTGTTCACTCGCTCTTGTCCATGTGTTAATGCTATTGTTCTTGCTTTTAACTCTCACCGGTATGCTTTCGCTTCAATTTATTTTTTATTTCTCTCAAATATCTACATTTTTTCCACTGATTCTTCGTGTATATTATAATGAAGATTCCTTCCAACTGATTTATGACTAATAACCTAGAATTGTGCTCTTCTCTCTATAAAGGTTTCTTTTTACAACAGTCAAAGCTTTTTTCATCAATATATGGTAAGATGTTACTTATAATTTATTCCGAAAAAAAGACCATTGATACACGAGATTGTTGCTGAGGATATCGCTTGCCTGTTAGTTATATCTTGATGACGTTTTTGATCGTGCACAATTTATTTTATTCTTTTAAGGGCCTCTTCTACATCAGCAACGCCTCTAGGCTTTATTATTATTTTAATCATTTTTTTAGTCTTTTACTACAGGTTCTTCAAAAACAGTGGATCCTTACCTATAACATGATTGTTGTCTTGATTGTTTAAGGCCTAGCATGATTGTCACTTTTACGTGAACTGCTGTTTTCAGTCATCGGTTATTAACTCAGCAAACTTGCTGCCTTGCTTCTCGCCTGCAGTACAGTTAGATTCTCGGTTCTTGCTTTCCGGATCTGATAAGGTCTCGCATAATTACCTGATGCTAACACAAATAAAAATTGTACCAATAAAATCGCAAAATTCTCATAGTTCACCATTTAAATTCGACAAAGAAAATGTAAAAAATAGCCAATAACTCGAAATTTATATACACTGGTATGATATTGCATCGCGAGTTATTAAAATTACTAGCTTTTGACCCGTAAATATTAATTTTCGCAAAATTCAACAAGCAATCCTTTGTTAATAAACTCATCCATTGGTATAAAACGGCTTGCACAACAGAATTAGCAGAGTTAATGTCATTTGAGCGCGCGTCGTGATGACAATATCTTTGGAGAAAAGTCACACTCAAATTTCCTTTAAACTTTCAATTACACTTTTCATAGGTCATCAACAAAACAGAACAAAATTCTGTTTTACTTGAAGGCTTAATAATAAATCGCGCGGTGATGAAAGTAGTTCAATTTGCCAGTACAGCTAGTTTATAATATTATTATTTGAATAGTCAAAATATAGTGGCTTTATCAATTGAAGACGCTTCTGCTCACGAGATTTACACAATTTGTTGGCAAAATGCTCTCATGCTTCAATAAATTATAAAGGATCATCATGACATAATCTTGTCGATGTGCGAATGATAATTTAAAGGTAAATTTTGCCCGGTCCGCTACTAAAATTAGAAAGTGAAAAAAAGTTTTATTGTATGAAAAATGAATATTACTCGAAAACCAATGTCAAAATCTGTCTTGGAATACTAATTAAAATTGTCGGGACAGCAATTTTACATATAATTTTGTCATTTGCCCTAACCGTTACCCTTATCCGGACCTTATAAATCATAAAAAATCATTAATAGTAAACTGAAAATTTAAAGGGATTGATTACATGATGTACTACGCTTTAACCATTCTCTAATTTTATCATCATCTTCTCTTATAAATACCCCCAAACTAAATTAAATTTTCGACCCAAAACGTCATCGCTATTGTTGTATTTTTAACTGCGAAAGAGTATTTCTTTTCCTACTATATTGGCCATAGCAAACAACAATGACCTCGTCGTCAAAAAGAGAGAGAGCGAGCGGCTTATCAAAAGCTTCAAATACTTCAAGGTCTATTGCCTAAAGAACCAATAGCTTTTCCAGAGCGCGCGAGAGGCAATAATATATTTAGTCCGAATAAAATAAACGCCCGTCGAGTTTGAAAATGGATTTGTTGAATGGGCTACATATTTTGTGAACGATCCGCCAATTCCGCGACCGCAGAGTCATCGGTAGAAACACCACCACAGGTATTTATTCTCTCGTGTTTCGTGAGTGCGATAAACGTGACAGACAAGTTTGTCGATAACGGACAATGATTTTACGCGATTATTGTCTTTTCGTGGAAAAATCATTGTAAATATCGAATATACATTAAATCTCTCAAGGGCAGCAGCAGCCGAAAAACTCGCCGTGCATTAGCAGCGCAGTCGTAAATAAAGCCATTGCGACCATTATATGAACTAATATCATCTTTGGGATCAAAAAGAAACACCATCGAGAAAAAGGACAACTCGCCGAACATCTAATCCCTTCTGTAGCAGAGGCGAAGTTTGCTGTAGCGTCGAGCGATCGCACCAATGAAAAAGGAAAAAATAAATTTCATTCAGAGGTAAGTGTTATTACATTCAATGTAAAAATTTCTCGTTATAAATTTTAAGGATGAAAGAATGGACATTGATATTTCAACGGAGCAACGGCGACTATCAGATCTATTGTCGGATTTGTTGAGCCCATTGTCTAAACCATTATCAACCAAGAAAAAGCAACAAAAGTCTGTCGCTATGCTCAATACAAATAAGCTGAGAACTAGTCCAAATGGAGGCCGATCGCGATCTCGATCTCCTAATCGAGGACCAATATCACGTGCGCGATCTAGTACGCCTGAAATAGTTAATGCTGATACGCGTAATAAGTCGGCTTCTGTTGGCGAAAAGAAGAAATTCACTATTAAATTATCAATAAATAAACAATCACGATTGAATAGGTGAACGCTACACCAATCATTACAGCTGCAATTTCCGAACCTCCAAAGAAGGAAGAAGAGACATAAATTAGCGGATGACGATACATCTGCACCAGCGCGGAAAGTGCACAAAATTCTGCAGTTGATAATGCGGCATCGAGATCTGCCAATGTTAATCAGCAAAAGATATTAGAAAAAAAGGAAACGTCTTTTAAACATTCGGAAGAAAAATCAACATTACGATATTTTACAGATTCGCGGAAATCGATAAAAACTACAAACACGAAGGAGAAAGAAAAATTAATGAAGCACTAGCAGCAAAAACAAAAATCTCCGAAGAGCGTCATCGTGCAGCTGAGGAACGCAACAACCAAAAAGACTAGTTGCTGAAAAAGAAACATTATTTTCCGAAAAAGAAACACTTCAAGATTCAAGGAGGATTATAAAGGCACAGGAGGAATATATGAGGGTACAAAATGATCTCAAAGAAAAAGAAAATTTGGCATCGGCATACGATAAATTAAAAAGTGGGAAAGCCGAATATGTGAATAATTCGAAAGGTTTTTATAGACTTAATATATATTATGTATTGAACTGATTTTTAGGTACGCTTGCCAGGTCTCAGCGACGACGAACGAAGGCACCTTGAACTTTCTTCGGGTTCTCTAAAGAATTTGGTGGCCAAATGCGGGAAATTAGTGGATTCGTTACGCAGGAGGTAATAAAAATACTCTGAAGTAGTTGTCAATGGATCTTGTAGAAAAATTGCAAATCCTTTCACATCAAAAATGCGAAGTGATAAAAAGAACAAGATTTATGCGGATTTACATAAATTCTCTCTCATGGGTTTTAAACCAGCAAAAGCCAAAACAGCCGAACCACCACCAATGCGAAACCTTAATATACCGCTGCTCATGTGGAAATCGTTCGTTTGGAAATATTTGTCAGGATAGATCTGATTGTAACGAAAAAAAGCAAGCAACTATAAACTTACACTTCAAAGACTTGGCATCCTCAATTACGCCACTAGCATATCGTGACACATCAGGAAGAAATCCATTATCCCTTTTGGTTAAACAAAGGATGTTAGTCAAAAGATCGAATGGAATCGGCGACTATCATATAGTGCCACGTCATCACCATTGGATATATTCCGGACTACACCCTCTGATGACTCCGATCAATAGACGTAAT